TTCAGCACTCCCAGCAGCCCTCGCAAATCAATCATACACGTCGGCATGTCCAACTATTCCGCACCAAGTTCGATGGTGCTGGTTGCCTGGCGGAAAGCTTCGCGGGGAGCTTCGTCCAAAATGGCATTCACATCTGACTCCATATAGTGAGTGTAACGCTCGCTGTGGGTGGCAGGGAGGCTGTCCTTGGGACCACGCTGCGTCAGTGTCGGGACTGCCCCGAAAACTCAAGCGGCAAACAACTTCGCGCGGTCTGGGGTACTGCGGTCGCATCTGTCTCGAAGACAGTGACGCGCACCAAAGCAATGCCTCCAGCTTGTCTTCTTCCACTCTGACGGTGGCCAAACTGATCTGGCAGGTGACGGGAGTGGCGTCGGACTGGCAAATGGCGTCCTTCAAGAAACGTTTCATTGGTTTGCTCCAGTTGGCTCCGATCCCCTCCTATCCGCATGACAGGAATCTGCGCGACCGAGTGGGGGTAGGTGGCGCCAGGCCACCCGGGCCCAAGGACTGCCCTCAGAGTCTCCTGCTGGCGATGGCCCGCCAGCAGCGCTGCCCATACCAAGCGTTGCGGCTCATCGCCGTGCCTGAGGCCATCACAAGCTGCTGAGGCGCGATTCGGCCCGACCTCGCCGAGCTTCTGGATCGCTGGCCGCCTGCGAGCTGGCTGCCTTGGTCTGCTCCTTGGCAGCCATGGCTGCCCCGTGGCTGTCCAGGTGGGGAGCTCCGCGGCCCGCTGGGGCTAGCGGCGCTGCATGGGAGCGACGGACCTCGGAGGGCGCCCAGCGGAGTGGCGCCCGCTCGTGCTTCCAGCGAAAAACGCTGGGGCCTGCGCTGGGCGGTGGAGGCGGAGACGGCAGATGCGGAGGCGGAGGAGGTGGTGGAGGCCGAAGCGGTGGAGGCGAAGCTGGACATGGAGGGCAGGCATGGGCATGGGGAGCAGAGAGGGGAAGGAAGCGGGGAGACGGCGTTGAAAAGGCCTCGGGCCGACAGCGCACGGCGGCTGCCGAGCGGGTGACTCTATCTGGAACAAACTTCGGCGGCTTGAAATGGTCGCGGCCCTCTTTCGGACGCGGGGCAGAGCAGCCCACAGGTGGGAGCGAGGAGAGGTGAGGGTGCTTGGGGGAGCGAGGGGGGCCAGCCGCCAGCTCAACAGAACAGGGGGGATCGTGGGACGCTGAAGGACATACTGACCCTGCGCGTGTGCTGATGTTGGAGGCGCACGTCCCACTACTGGCAGCGCGGCAGAACCAGACGGGCGGGTCGGGCGAGCAGGCCCCGGTGGGCGACGTCGGGCGGCCGGGCCCTGCAGGCGGTCGAGCGGGCGGGCCGCCGGGGCGCCGGCCCTGCACGAGTCGAGACGAAAGCCTCCTCCTCCTCCTCCTCCTCCTCCTCCTCCTCCTCCTCCTCCTCCTCCTCCTGCACGCAGCACACAACGCTTCTGGTAGCTGGCGCCCCGAGCGGTGAGGTCGGAACGCGACCGCCTCGGAGCTTTTACGGTGCTGAGCGTGCGCGTCGCCCCCGCGGGGCCGACGCGCGCGCAGCAGAAGTATGCTGGGCGGGTGCCGAGGTCACGGCACGTCGGGGAGGGGGGGGAAGCCTAGTGGGCCCTGGTAACGACAGGGCCGTTTTTGTTACCGGTTCCGTTCTGCCGTGTTTTGCCGGTTCCGACGGTTTTTGTTACGGGTTCCGTCGCCGTTGTTTGACCGGTTCCGGCTCCGGTTCCAATCCTGGAGCCGTTCTTTTGCCGTTTCTGGTCGCCGGTTTTTCCCGCTTCCATTTTCAAGGGACATGTTTCTGGAAACGGTGAAAAAAACGGCCCTGCCGTTTCCGGGGCCCACAAAGGGGGGGGAGCCTCTCGCAGACGGGGAAACAACCAACAACAGAAAGACGAGGCTGCGGCAGGGGCACCATGCCATGCACTCGTCGGAGGCTCCGCGTGGACTTCGCGCCCTTCGGTCGGCGTGGCAGCCCCCCCCCCCTTCCCCGGCGCGCGGAGCCTGCCTGGGGCCTGGGGCTGCGCAGCAGCAGGCGCCGCAGATGACTACCTACCAGACCACCCCAACCCAACCCGAAGACCCGAATTTCGGGTGGGGGGGGGTACGGGTTCCATATGTGTTTTTTCAATGTTCCCCGACCCCCCCCCCAACTGGAAATGGAGGGCAAATTGAGGCCTTCGGGTTGGGTTGGGGTGGTTTGGTGGGTGGTGAGCAAAAGGGGGGAGGGCCCAGCGCCGATCCCGGGAAGCCGCGGAGACCGCTGGAAGTCCGTGTCCATGCGGACGTCTGGTGCGGCGCGCCCGGAATGCGTTCGGGAAGAGTGGGTGGGAACAGTGCTGCAAAAGCAAACGTTGTCCAAGACCGATTGGCCGCTGTTGGGCAAGCGCCTTCCTGTCTCAGGCGGGCAACACCGATGGAAGTCCATGTCCATGCGGACGTCTGGTGCGGCGCGCCCGGAATGCGTTCGGGAAGGGTGGGTGGGAGCAGTGCTGCAAAAGCAAACGTTGTCCAAGACCGATTGGCCGCTGTTGGGCAAGCACCTTCCTGTCTCAGGCGGGCAACACCGCTGGAAGTCCATGTCCATGCGGACGTCTGGTGCGGCGCGCCCGGAATGCGTTCGGGAAGAGTGGGTGGGAACAGTGCTGCAAAAGCAAACGTTGTCCAAGACCGATTGGCCGCTGTTGGGCAAGCGCCTTCCTGTCTCGGGCGGGCAACGCCCGTGGCGACGCCGACAACGAGTCCTGCTCACAGTGGGCAGGAACTGCTGCCCGTCTTCGTCACACACAGTTGTTCCCCGTATCCATTTCGATCGCACCGACTGGTTCTTCGCACTATGGAGGAAGACGACGATAGGGGAACGAAAAGTGGCATAAACATTATTACCCTGTGACGTACCCAACCATTTCTATACATGTGGCGAGTATACTCAGGACCACTCAATGCTGACTGGCATTCTGAAGGACCCGCAGTGCGCAAGAAGAGCACCCAACAGTGATTTCAGAACAGCGCAGCAAGAACAGGAACGGCAACTATACAAAGTGGAGACACAGGGGCGTTGAAAGAAACGCGTATGACGCACCTCCGAATGATCCACGTGGGACGTACCTCCACAGGGCCTCCCAGGAGCCCACGAAAGTGGCGACGCTTGCGCAGATCGCAGCCCTCAGGGCACCGCGAGGTCCCGAGGTGATCCGCGTGGGACCCACATCCGCTGGGCCTCCCAGGAGCCCACGAAAATGGCGACAAGTGCGCAGATCGCAGCCCCAGGGCACCGCGAGGTCCCGAGGTGATCCGCGTGGGACACACCGCCGCTGGGCCTCCCAGGAGCCCACGAAAATGGCGACAAGTGCGCAGATCGCAGCCCCCAGGGCACCGCGAGGTCCCGAGGTGATCCGCGTGGGACACACCGCCGCTGGGCCTCCCAGGAGCCCACGAAAGTGGCGACGATTGCGCAGATCGCAGCCCCCAAGGCACTGCGAGGTCCCGAGGTGATCCGCGTGGGACCCACCTCTGCTGGGTCTCCCACGAGCCCACGAAAGTGGCGACAGTTGCGCAGATCGCAGCCCGACGGCACGAGAGAAGAGGAGAAGGGAACTCAGGAGACAGGAGAGGAGGAGGGGGGGAGGGGGGAGGAGAACAAGGAGGCCGGGGCGACCACACTGCTCTTTTCAAAACGAGTACCCAACCACAGGAGGATTGGGAAAAACTCGGAGGTCCTCGCGGATTTCTCGGATCGGCGCTGGGGCCCCCCTCCCTGGCGCGCGGAGCGCGCCAGGGGCGGCGCCGGAGGCGCCGCCAGGGGGCCCCAGCGCCGATGCGAGAAGTCTGAGCGGATCTCCGAGATTTGCATGTTTCCGTCACTTTTCGTTCCCCTAGACGAGTAAGCATCGCAGATGTGGACCCGCCGCATGCAGACCACACAGCCCCGCGCTGCCGCGCCGAGGTCGTCGGCGCTCGCTCCGCTGGCCACAGGCGGCAGCAGCCACGGCGGCGCGCGCTCTCGGCCCGCGGAGGGCTCCGGCGGCACGCCGCGGCGCCCGCGCGCAGAGGCATCCTGGCCGCGTGCCCTGGCCGCCTGCGCGGAGCCCTAGGAGGAGGAGGAGGAGGAGGAGGAGGGGGAGGAGGAGGAGGAGGAGGAGGAGGAGGAGGAGGAGGAGGAGGAGGAGGAGGAGAGGAGGAGGAGAGGAGGAGGAGGAGGAGGGGAGGGAGGAGGAGGAGGAGGAGGAGGAGGAGGAGGAGGAGGAGGAGGAGGAAGGAAGAGGGGGAGGAGGAGGGGAGGAGAGGAGGAGGAGAGGAGGAGAGGGAGAGAGAGGAGGAGGAGGAGGAGGAGGAGGAGGGAGGAGGAGGGATCTGGAGAGGGTCTGGCCAGCGTTCGGGTCGTCCGGGGCCCTTCGGGCACTGCCTGGGAGGCCCGAGTGCTGGCCGGACTCGTTGTGGTCCTGTAGCCGCAGTCCCACGGCTGAGTGGTCCAGTCAGTGTTCGGGCGGCCCCGGCGGCACTCCAAGCAACTGCCCTAAGGAGCCCAACGGCGGCTTGACTCTTACTCTGATCCCTGCGTACGTCCGTGCCGGCGCTGCTTTCTCCTCTAGGATGGAGAGGGAAGGGCGGTCTACGTAAGCTACCAGCAACTGGAGCAAGAAGTATCTGTCGCCGCGCCGTTTTTTTTTTTCGACGCGCCCAAATGGACAACGCCGACACCACGGCAAACCCACGGAAAGCCGTGCACCCCGCGCCCAATTGGACGAGGCCGGCACCGCGGCAAACCCACGGCAAACCCACCACGCCCCAGGCGGCGTTTGCCCTGGTGGCCGAGGCGCCCTCCCCAAACGGCGCGGCGACACATACTCCGTACGAGATACTCCGTTCATGAATTTATCGATGTGAAGCCGGATCTGGCTTACCCCAGGAAAACGCTCAGAGAACAGAGCTGTCCTCCATCCCCCCTTGCAGGTAGAGTGCGAATCTGGAGCCAATCTGGGCCCAAACCTGGTGATAATGCATATTGCGGCAAAAGCTAGCACAACAAGCAGAGAGAAGCAGCGAGCCTGAAAAAAGTGGTCTACACTGATGCCCGTGCCAGCTCTACTGAAGGGAGGCATCCGCGTGGAACGACGAGCCCAAGGCGGTCGAGACATTCTCAGTGCCTGCAGACTGGTCGCTCACACAGTCGCCGCACACGCTGCCGTCCTCGGGCAGGTCTTCCTCCTCCCGCTCCCCTCTCCCCCTCCACCTCGTTCCCCCCTCCCCCTATCACCCTCCTGGCCCCTCACCCTCCCCATCCACCTTTCCCCCTCCCCCTCCCCTTCCTCCTCCTCCTCCTCCTCTGCACCTTCTCGGCTGAATAGTGAAGACCAGGCGGGGGAGAGTGGAGCACTCCAGGGGCCCAGTGTAAGTACTGAGAATCAGTCACCTCGCAAAGAGTTAGCTGCAGCTGTTTTTGAGCTCAGACTGGAACTAGCAGGGCAGCAGGCCAGCAACCCTAGCCAGGGTTCCTCTCTCCGTCCTTTTTCCTCCTCCTCCTCCTCCTCCTTTTCCTCCTCCTCCCCTTCCTCCTCCTCCCTCAAGCACATGTGGCCCAAGGCGCGTAGGTACCCTTTGGGCTCGGACTCGCCCTGGCGTCGCGTCCGTCACCGCCCAGAGGTGCTTGGGGGCACCGCGTCTCCACCGCAAGTTCGCAGGCGAATCGCGGTGGCGAAAGGGAAGCATATTTGTTGGTGAAGGAAGAGATATACATGTGGTTTGCTCCGCATTTTCCCACGTTGTAGTGTTGCTACTGCTGTCACGTTCAGTACGTGCGAGAGGGGGGGGGGAAGTGGCAGCGGTTGATGCGGCTGCTGAGCATTCTGTGGGAGGCGAAGCATCGACCGTCGTCACCCTCCCTGTCTGGAGCAGCAGGTGCGAAAAGGACGAGCAGTGGCAGCAGGCAGACTGTTTCTGGGGACCGAACCTTGACCCCTATCTCCTACAGTGCTGGAATTGGCGCGTGCGAGAAGGGCGAGCAGCTTTGGAGGGTTCAGCCACTGCTGAGCGTGTTGTGGGAGCCAAAGCTTAGGCCGACTGTCATCAGCTACAAGACTCGGATCGGCAAGTGCGAGGAGGGCAGGCATAAGCAGCGGAACGCCGATGCTGGGCGTGATGACAAGGCGACGTGCGAGCCGACCGTCATCTCTCCTACAAAGCTTGGGCCAGCACGTGCGAGAGGGGCGAGAGGTGGCAGCGGGCAGGCTTTTCGTTGGAGCCACACGCGGTTCCCTCGGCATGTTTTCACGCATCATGCTGCAATGGGCTAGCGTTCAAGCCGTTCTATCGTATTCGGCCAACTGGCCTCTCAGCGTGTCAGCGGCCCGTCGGAGCGCTCTGCGCTGCAGTGTCACAATGGGCAAGCTGAGAGGTGTGCTTGGGCCAAGACTGGCCAAATCCTTGTGCAGAATTTCCCGAGGTTCGTGCATAATGTCACGTTTCTCCCACTCGCCTGGTAACGGACAGGTGTTGTTTCATGTCTTCCCAAGTTGTTTACGCAGATTGTCTATTCGCCGTAAGTGCATCCAGCACTCGTGGGTGTATTGGCTGGTGGCGACCGTCATCTGGTGGGCAGCGCGTGTCGGTTGTGGCAGCACCTTGTCTGTAACAGCGAGTATAGGTTTTCTCATAATGCTACTACCTTTGTATGGATTTCTTGCGTGGCTGGTGGGAAGGAGTGCAGCTTCAGATTCAATTTATCCTGGTGTGGGGTACTCGTGCGAGGGATAAGCTTCGTTCCTCGCGCTTCCTGGCCCTGCCGTTAAATTGCAATATTGTGTCGTGGATTCCGCTTTCCGGTTCGCCTTCTTCGTCGGCCAGCTCAGGGGGTGGCGCGTAGCTATTGCGACATTGACACCGCCTCATAGTTATTCCTATTCCTATTCCTCCTCCTACTCCTCCTCCTCCTCCTCCTCTTCCTCCTCCTCCTCCCTCCGTGGCTGGGCACTGATGGGCGGGTCGGGAGGGACATGAAAGCGGGCGGGTGAGCTTCCAAAATAGCGAGAACAAGCGGACGCTCTCAAACGAGCGGGCCCAAACGAGCCGGTCGGGGCGGGCGGGTTGGGGGGGGCGTGGCCCTGAAGCGAAGCTAGTAACTTGTGATCAAGTCTCGTGGGAGAGCGTGGTTCCAAAGTAAAACGGTGAGGACGTCCTGGGCGAGAGCGTGGTTCCCGACTGTCGAGGGCGCGGCGCCTGAAGAAGTGGCACGGACTTGCCAAGCGGGACCTCGTTCTGCAATATGCAAGAACGTCTCGAGCAAAAACGAGATTCTGCAATAAACAGTGAGGAGCTATCAGGCGGGAGCGGCTGGGAGCCAACAACAGAGCTTGAGCAGGACGACTTCCCCTGATTTTTTTGTTTCTTACAAAAGAAAAGAAAACGAATGCGAGCCCCGAGGAGGACACTTCAATTAAAAAACAATGCGCGCCGGGCAGGAGGGGGATCAACAATGATTCTTCCTCAGAAGTGCGAGCTCGATCTGTTCATACTGCTGCTGCCCCCTCTTTCTACAGTCTTTGGGGCACACTATTCGTCTATCTTTGAGGGCCCCCAGCTTCGTCAGAGCTTCAATGGGTCCCTGGGGCCATCGGAGGAAACGAACTGTCCGTGGGGCACCTGCTACCAGGCTGCTTCATGTGGCGTGCCTACTGTACTCCGCCTTCTCCACATCCAGCTCGTATGCCTTGTTCGGCTCTCGACGGCTGAGGAGCTGCGTGAGCACGCCCCCGTGTGCAGGCCACTCGAGAGATCTTGACGACGCGGCGGCTGTCCCCAGGAGCGGAGCGGCGGCGGCGACGGGTGCAGCAGACGAGGGGGCAAGGGAGAACGAGGGGATCGAGCAGAGTCGAGGCGCGGCAGGGGAGAACGAGCGGAGGGAAGAAAACGGTGACCATGAAGAAGACTGAACGTGAAAACGTCGGTGTCGATCTTGATCGCAGTCCAGATTGGTCATTGCCGATTCGTGGATGCTCCTCGCGAATAGGCGGCAGCCTGCAGAACGGACCATGACCAGGATGTACATCGACAAGGTGCTGCTACATGGCCATCGTGATTCATCCCCCGAAAGAAAGCAGCACCCCCACCCCACAGGGCATCCATCTCCACAGAGGGGGAGCCAGGGGGACGGGCACTAGTTGTACCTCTTTTGTTTGCGAATAGTCCCCACAATCGGGAGCCGAAGCTCCCTGGCCCAGACCTCCAAAGGGGGTGGTGCGCTTTCTTACCCCAGCACTGAGCGAGGGCACAGAGTGCGGGGCCCAAGAATATACACCACCCCCACCTACCTCACCCCCATCCCACTCCCAAGAAGGATGAATGGATGCAGGAGGGAAAGGGGGAAGGAACGGAAGAGATGCAGGAAGAGAGGAAGGGAAGGAGGAGGATGCAGAAGGAGAGGAGGGGAAGAGATGCAGGAAGGGGGAAAGATGCAGGAGGAGAGGAAGGGAAGGATGCAGGAAGGAAGGGGGAATGGAGGCGGAAGTAATGTATACTCCTGGGGCCCGCACAGGAAGCGCAGCAAAGGAGAGGGAGAGGGAGGTGGAGGAGGAGGAGGAGGGAGGAGGAGGAGGAGGATGAGGAGGAGGAGGAGGAGGAGGAGGAGGAGGAGGGGAGGAGGAGGGGGAGGGGAGGAGGAGGAGGAGGAGGAGGAGGAGGAGGAGGAGGAGGAGGAGGAGAAAAGGAGGAGGGGGGAGGAGGAGGAGGAGGAGGAGGAGGAGGAGGAGGAGGAGTAGGAGGAGGAGGACGAGGAGGAGGAGAGGAGAGGAGAAGAGGAGGAGGAGGAGGGAGGAGGAGGAGGAGGAGAGAGGAGGAGGAGGAGGAGGGAGGGGAGGAGGAGGAGGAGGTGGAGGAGTACGCAGCCTGAAGAGGTCTGTCGCGCAGAGCGCCAACAGCCACGAAAAGCGGGGCAAGACCATGGTCCTGCCCAAATGCGCGCACCAGCGCCCACCCAAGATGCCCACCAAAGGATCACGGCGGGGAGGGCGCGCACGCACAAACTATTAGAGCCCAGACTCTGAGAGAAAACAACGAGACACTTAACCCAGTTGCAGCCAGTGCACCTCGGGATCCGAAACCTGGAGCCTCCTTTGCCCAGAGATAACCTCCTGTCTCCGAAGGTCGGCTGGGTGACGATTTTTTTTTATTAAAACGAGAAATATGAGAGAGCCCCCGTTTGCTATAAGGCGGCGGGGGACACACGTCTAACAGAGCAGACGCTTTGCCCGTGCTGATGGCCCCGCACGACAAACCAATGACCACCTTACCAGGCGGCATGAAAAGCTCGTGTCCTCGGGCGCTCCCGGTCGGAACGTCGCCGCTCCCAGGCAGCGGAAGAGAGGACCGAGAGCTCGGCACGCACCATCCGCCTCGAGGCCCAAGGAGACCACGCGACTTTGGGGGCGGCTCGGCCGAGGGATCACGGAGAGGAGCGGGGCGGGCCTGCACACGCTGAACGGCTTCAGGGAGAGGCTCATCGCTCACAGGCCGAAACGAGACCCCTCGCCCATTGTCGGGGGGGAGAAGGCCTGAGATCCGCGCCCGCACCATCCTGGGAGGCAAAGAGGGAGAGCGCACACGAGCAGCAGAAGAGCTCGAGGCAGCAGCACGGGGAGGGAAGAAAGGAGCGGAAGGAACCATCCCGCTCGCAAATCCACGGGCGCGGACGCGCCTGTGGTGAGGCGAGGCCGATCGCACTCTCCGCTGAGTGAGTCCTCCACCCCCGATCCCCGACAACGACGGCGAAGACGACGGATCACCACCCCCCGTCTCGGTGTCCTGCGGTGGCTCATTAAGGCCATCCTGCAGTTCGTGATTATAGTCAGCTTCCTGCTGGATCATATCCTCGAATTCAGCTCCCAACGAGGCTCTAGGAGAAATAGGGGCCTCCTGTTGACTCGCTAAAGGCTCCCACGTGGCAGCATCCCTGGCTTCAGCAAGAGTGTCAGTGGCAGCAGCTGTCTTCGCAGGACATCGGCGAGTCGCGAGTATCTTGCGCCGCTTCACGGACCGAACGAGCTTCGCGCACGTCGCGCACCGCCAGGAGGGCCCGTGCCGAAAGAATATGTGACGGAAGCCTGTAGCCACCGCGGCAGCGGCACGGCGATCCGCGGCGGCAGCACGAGCCTTCCTACGCTGTTCGAACCTATCCAGGCCATGAGGGACGGTGTCAGACATATCGGGGCTGGACAGACCCCCCTTTAGTAAAACATGGTTTAGTGAAAACGACCTGAGGCCCAAAACTGGCGGGCGCAAGCCTGGAAAATAACGGCCACGGCGCCCTTTCGAGAACCGAAAACGGACAATTCACTAATCGACGTGTCACTGTTGGGGGTTCTGTCCACCCCCGAACATATATTTAGTGTGAGCCCTGGCCATCCGGGCCACGGTCTTGCGCACCGCCCTGAAACGACGCTTCATCAAAAGAGCATCCTGACTTCGCACGGCGTGAAGATACACGGCCCTGGCAGGCCGAGAAATCTCGGCCCATCGGTCTCCCCGCGCCTCAAAAGACTGGCCTTTTTCTGGTGGCCAGGGGTGTACAAAATCTGGAGCAGATCTCCTAAACCGCCTAGATCCTCGATGCTGCGCCAAATCTCACGCCAGAGGTCAGAGTTCGGGCGCCGCGGTGAAGTGCCCCAAGAAGGCCCGCGCTCAAGGCCTGTCGGCAAGTCGAGGTAGTCGGTATAGATAATGAGGAGGTAGGGGTCGGATCTCACCACGTGTTCGACGAAATCGGAACCCTAACCAGATGCTGGTGATGATAATCCCCTATGGATAATAAGGTTCGGGGCCCAGGCGGGATAGTAAACTGTTCCCGACGATATCGATGTCAGGATGTTTGGACCGGTCTTCAAGTTCGGTCTTCAAGAGCCTCCATGATCCTTCGTCTGGACGGCGTTTCGCCTGAGACATCCTCACAAAAAATGGTAATCAGGATCATTCGTGGTGCTATACATGAGATGACGATCAGAGCTACGATAGGAACCTTGGAGGGGATAGTGAAGGTCGGCCTCCCCGCTTGTTGTGGCAATTGAGGAACGTTCAATCTCGTGGATAAGCCGATACAAGGGTAAGGGGGTGATGCTTCATTATCCGCGGGTTGCGGTTACCCCCGCCGCCCATCGAGCTGCCTGCATGAATCATTGATCGGCGAGGGTAGGATCTGGCGCTCGCCGCCGAGAGGTGCCAGATGGAGAGAGAGGAAAGCGTGAGCGTTAGGAGGCAACTCCTGAGAGGTCTTCGCAAGAACGATTAAAAGGCTAGCGAGCCAGAGCGAGGGTCCACAAAGCGAGAGCAGACAGGATGAAGCCCAGGATTGAACTGGGTTTCGCGGAATCAGGACGGGCTGAGCGGGACCAGGCTGGACCGAGACGGCTCTAGACCGGGAATAGAGCAGCGCCGAGACTGCATTGAACCTCCCACGAGTAGCAGCCGAGTGAGCGATAAGCTACGGGGGGGAAGAGGGCAGCGAGGTGACGAACAGGGGAGGGAGAGAGGAGGGCCGAGAAGGGGTTAGGAAGAGCACGAAATTGCGCGAGCGGGCCCCGAGTGGCCCGCTGGCTGTCCTTCGTTGGCTCCGCGGGCCGGCCAGGCGAGCCGTGAAGCCGAGAGACGGGCCAGTCCCTGAGCGCGTGGGGGAGGCACGGCGGGCGTGGCGTCGGCGTCAGCTGCGTTTGCCATCCCCTGCTCCTGCGCCTGCTGTGCCCGCTGCTCCCCCCCATCTCCCTCACCCGTCGCCTCCCCATCCTTTCTCTGCGTTCCAATTCCATAACTGTCCTACTCACTCCCTCGCCTCCTCATCGCGCGGCTTCTCCTCCTGATCCCCCCTTCTGCCCTCCACCTCCCGCTCCTCATCCTTGCCCTCCTCCTCCTCCTCATCATCATCCTTGCTCTCCTCCTCCTCCTCCTCATCATCATCATCAGCATCCTCATCATCATCCTTGCCCTCCTCATCCTCATCACCATCGCAATCCCAGTGTTCATCCGCATGCCCATGCTCCTCCTGATCATCCTGATCATTAGCTGCGTCATGTTATTCCTCATATCCATGCTATACCTCCTCATATTCTTCATCATCATCACAACTATTTCCGCAGCATTATCATGATCAACCTTCTCAACCTCATTCTCCTCCCCCAGGAGCATCATCGTCATTATCGCCATTACCACAACCGTCATCAACACCATCACCATGATTATCAGCATCATCACCCTCACCATCATCATTAGCAGCACCATCACCTTCTTCTTCTTCATCAGCACCATCATAATAGTTATCGTCATCGTCTGCATGGTCATCATCAACATCGTCATCACTCCCCGCATCGTCCTCGTACTTATCACCCTCGTCATCAGCATGAGCATCAGCATCAGCATCATCATCAGCATCATCAACCTCATATCCATCATCGTCATCATCGTGATCAGATTCTTCCTCATCACCATCATCACGACCATCAGCATCATCATCAAAATTATCATCATCTTCATCGTCATCGTCATCATCGTCAGCACCCACATGGACAGCGTCAGCATCAGCACCATCATACCACATCATCCCCAACATCATCAACATCATCATGAGCAACGTCCGCATCATCATCATCATCATCATCGTGATCATCACCATCATCAGCGACGCACTCATCATCCTCACCATCATCCACACCCACATCATCAGCATCATCAGCATCCGCATCAGCATCATTACCATCCGCATCAGCATCATCAACATCATCATCATCAACAGCATAATCAAACTCATCGTCGTCATCCTCATCATCCGCAGCATCAGTATCACCATCATCACGACCATCCTCATCATCGTCATCATCATCGTTGTCACCCGCATAATCAACATCGTCACCATCAACAGCAGCATCATCATCGTCACCATCATCAGCATCGTCATCATCAGAATTATCATCAGCATCAGTATCATCGTCACCATCATCATCGGCATTGGCATCATTAGCACCATCATCATCAGCATCAGCAAACTCATCAGCATCGTCATCATCATACTCATCACCAACCTCTACTCATCATCGTCCGCATCAACATCCGCAGCAGCATCATCAGCAGCATCATCAACACCATCAGCATAATCGTCACCAGAATCATCAGCATCAGCATCACGACCATCATCATCATCATCATCAACATCACCATGACTCATCAACATCATCATCAGCATCGGCATCATAATCAGCATCAGCATCACCATCAGCGTCATAATCGTAACCATTGTCGCCATCATAATCGTCAGCAGCCTCATCACGAGCATCAGCATCACCATCATCATCAGCATCCGCATCATCAACATCATCGTCAACCTCATTATCATCATCATCGCCATCATCATCATCATCATCATCATCATCATCATCATCATCATCATCAGCAGCACCATCCGCATTGTAAGCGTCGTCATCGTCACCACCATCGTCATCATCGTCAACATGATCATCAGCGTCATCATCAGCATCATCAGCATCACCATCACCATCAGTATCATCGTCACCATCATCATCGTTATCAGCATCAGCACTAGCATCATCATCGTCAGCATCAGCATCGTCAGCGTCATCCTTACCAGACTCATCCTCATCCTCATCCTCACCAACATCATCCGCATTAGCATCAGCCTCAGCATCATCATCAACATCATCAGTGTCAATATCGTCAGCGTCACCATCGTCATTAGTTGCATCATCATCAACATTGCCATCGTCACGACCATCATCATCTGCATCACCATCGCCAGCACATTGATCATCGTCGTCATCATCATCATCATCATCATCATCATCATCATCATCATCATCATCATTAGTATCATCATCCGTATCGTCGGCGCCATCATCATAGACATCACAATCATCAGCAGGCACATCATCAGCATCATCATACGAATCAGTGGTATCATCCGCATCGTCATCCTGATCAGCAGCGGTGCTACCATCATCATCACCACCATCATCCTCATCCTCATCCTCATCACCATCAGCATCAGCATCATCATCATCAGCAACATCAGCATCATCGTCATCAGCAGCATCAATAACATCATCATCATCATAATACTCATCATCACCAGCAGCATAACGACCATCAGCAGCATCATCGCCATCATCATCATCATCCTCCTCATCATCAGCATCATCATCATCAGCAGCATCAGCATCATCATCAGCATCATCCTCAACATCATCATCTGTAACATCACGTCCGTAGCCATTTTGACTCAAGCCATGCTAGATCAAGCTCGCTTGGGTCGGAAAACGCGCGGGCGGGATCGCGTGGCCGCCGCCTCCGGGTGATGGCTACGAGGAGCGGGCGCCCTGGCGAGGCGCCGCGCTGTCCTTCAAGGACCCAACGGGGCGCGTGCCTCGGGAGACCGCCTGGTGAGGCGCCGGAGCCAGGAGCCGGAGGCTGCCCGCACGGAGTGCGCGATGGCTGCGGGCGGTGCTGGACCAGCGGGCTGCATGGAGTGACGGCGGCGTCGAAGCAGAGGCTGCCCGCCGTGAGGCTCTAGCCGGGCCCTCCCTGGTGGCCAGGCTCCGCGGCGCGCCCGAGAGCGGTGGGAAGCGCTTGGTGCGGGACGTGCGAAGCGTTGCCCGCAGGCTGGGGCTCCCTGGTCGGAGCGGAAGGCTGCGCAGCGCGAGGGCCGCCTGTCTGGTGGAGCCACCGCTGCAGCAGCAAAGACGTGCGGTGTCGAGAACGAGGTCATCATCCGCGAAGCGGACGCGTCGCTCTTCAGGCATCGGGTCGAGAAGCTGCACGTGGAGCCGCAAGCCGAAGTGCTGCGGCCTGGCGAGTGGCAAGCGTTCGGCGAGAAGCACGTCGTGTGGGGAGCTGGGGCTTTCGTGGATGGCCTCGCAGCGGGGTAGCGCCTTGCCGAGGCGTGCCCGTCCTGCGACGTTGGGGTGCTGATTCGTGAGCTGGGAGTGGCGGCCGCGAGGACCCCGCTGCGGTCTTGCGCCAAGTCGTACCTCAGTGAGAACGAAGCCGAGGCCTGCCTGTCCGAGGCAGGCGCTGAAACTGCGGAGGCCCGCGGGGCCGCGGCTGGTGCGGTGCCATGACTGCTGGAGGAGGAAGCCGAGGCGGCCCAGGAGCCGCCGCTGCCCCTCCCCCGCCGCCTGGCGGCTCGGAGGCTGCTACAGCCTGCACGGCCGCGCCGACGGCTGCCGCGAGCAGCACCGTGGTCACGGAGTACCTGGCGGCCCACCCTGCGGCGCTCCTCAGCGGCGGCAACGGGGAGGAGCACTTCGACGAAATCGAAAAGCCCACGTGCGAGAAGCATGAGGGGCAGGCAGAGCAGCAGGAACCCGAGGCCATCGGGTTCGAGCTGAATGATGGGGAGGAGCACTTCGGCGCGCTGCGGGGCGCCATGGGGGTGCGCAAGGACGACGAAGAGGACAAGAACGAGCTGGAGGCCCACGTGTCGGGTCACGGCGCGGGGGACGAGCAAGGCGGCGGTGCGCGGGCGTCGTGCAATGAGCCGCCGAGCCTCATCGAGCAGCCCACGTGCGAGGAGCATGAGGGGCAGGCAGAGCAGCAGGAGCCAGAGGATATCGGGTTCGAGCTGAACGACGAGGAGGAGCACCTGGGCAAGCTGCGGAGCGACATAACTGCGACGGCGAGGAGTCGGCCCTGCCTCCGCCCGTTGGCGACGGCGAGTTCTTCCTCGAGGTCGTCGACCTGGAAGCGGTGGCGGCAACTGCCACGCGGCACTACGACTGCGTCGAGGCGTTGTGGGCCATGGGCATGCAGAGGTGGGACGGTGGCGCGGCTCATCGAGCGCTGATGGCGCGGTCATCGAGCGCTGGCGGCGCGTACATCGAGCACCGCAAGAAGACGGATGCAATTTGGGGCGTGACTGATCGGGAACCCTGGGGAGGGGGCCCAACGACCCCGTGGATGAGTGGGAGAGTTGCGAGGGGCGCGAGCGTTTCGGCTCCGACCTTCCTTGGAGAGCGGGGTCACCTGCAACATCACCATCAGAAGCCTCGTCACCATCAGCACCGACAGCAGAATCATCCGCATCGTCAGCGTGAACAGAATCGTCATTATCATAATCGGCAACATCGTCAACATCATCGTCAGCAGCATCATCACCGGCAGCATCGTCTGCATCATCATCAGCATCGTCAGAATAGTCACCAGAATCCTCATCGTCAGCATTGTCAACAGCATCATCGCATCACCGTCAGCATCATTATCGTCATCAGCTCGTCATCGTCGTCAGCATCATCAGCATCGTCAGCAGCATCAGCAACAGCATGAGCATCATCCGCAACAGCGACATCATCGTCAGCATCGTCATCATCATAATCAGCAGCAGCATCATCATAATCAGCGTCGCCATCATCATCATCATCATCATCATCAGCAGCAGCAGCAGCAGCAGAAGCAGCATCACCATCATCATAATCACCATAATCATCATAATCGCCAGCATCATCATCATACGCCGCATGACAGCGTCATCATCATCATCATCATCATCTTCATCAGCATCATCATCATCATCATCATCATCATCATCATCATCATCACCATCAGCATCATCATCAGCGACAGCGTCATCATTAGCATCACCATCAGCAACATCATCATCAGCAGCAGCACCACCAGCATCAGCAGCATCGGCATACTCATCATCATCATCAGCAGCAGCATCATCGACATCAGCATCATCATCGTCGGTATCATCGTCATTATCCTCATCCGCCTACTCCTCATCATCATCATCGTCATCAACAGCAGCATCCTAGTCATGACCGTGATGCGTATTTCTAAACTTCCCAACCATGCCCCTCTGCTATTGCCGCTCCTCCTCCTCCTCCTCCTTCCTCATCCTCCTCCTCCCGTTCCCAATTACTGCCCCTGCTCATCCTATTACGCTTCATTCCCGATGTCCCCACCATCCTGCTGACCACCCCCGCTGCTATATGTTATCATCCTCGTCCTCGGTATCCCTCTTGCCCTCGCAATAGATTCCTCATCACACCCGCCTTGTCCTCTGCTCCGTCTCTGCTGCGCATTATTATTATTATTATTATCATTCTTTTTCATTATTCCTCCTCCTCCTCCTTCCACTCCCTGCTGCCCCCGGCACTCTGCCTCCTCCCCACTCATGCTCCCCCCAACCCACCCCGCCTCCACGTGCTTATCCTCCTCCCCGTCCCACTCCGCCTCCCCACGCTCCCCTGCCCCTCCCCTTTTTCCATGAGTTTCTCCTCCTCCTTCTCCTCCTGATCCTGCTCCTCCTCTTCCTCCTCCTCCTCCTCCTCCTTGTCCTCCTCCTTCTCCCCCATCGGCTCAACGGCGCTGGTTGGCTATCAAGGGTCCCACATCGACGTGTTGCGTGCACTCCCGTCAGATGCCAGGAGGGGTGGGCGATGGCAGTCGGCGCGGGCCCTGGCCGACCTCACCGACAGCCAAAACGAGAGCTGCTGGCGGTGCGCCATGCGACACGCCGTTCTCACTAGCAAGGGCGCTACGAGTGGAGGAGCTCGCCGCAGACCTGCAGGGTGGTGGGTGCTGGAGTCGAGCTCGCCTCGAACGCTTGGGTGTATCGTGTGCGTGCCAGCGCCAGGCACGAGAGCTCACCGGTGGCTTGGGCGAGAAGCTGTGCTGAGGGGAAACGTTCGGGGGAGGCCCGCTCAGCGGGGGGCCGGGGGGGCGAACATCGACCTGGAACCGGCCTCCAACCGCACGATAGATCGGCGACGCGCCCCCGAGAGCGAGTCTGGACCGTCCAGGGCGGGCTGGGCTATCCGGTGCCGGTGGGCGATCACCTGGCGATCGGGGGGCGACGCACCCCCCCTGAGCCACTGACAAGGCTCGACTATGCCCTGCTCAATGTTATGTGCTCAAGGGAAGTGCTCAATCATCATTGCTCCGCCCGACGTGGCTCTCGAGCGCCGAGCGGCGCTGCGATAGCAGCATGCCAGCGCGGAGGAGCTCGGCACTGCCCGTCGAAGCTACGGGCAGCCGCCCTCGCCGCCGGCTCCCGAGGCCGTCTTGGGTCATCTCCCAGGATCCCCGAGCAGGGGGTCGACTACAGAATTGATTGGTCCGAGATTGATTCTCCTTCGAATGCGCGAGAATACGCAACATGTTCCATAGATCCACTGAGCATTCTAGGTTAGGTTTTGTTTCGTAGACTCGACGGGCAATCAATTCTTGGGCAAATCAGTCCTGTAGTCGATCCCCTACACGAAGATTGTGGGTAGGGCGTCTGGTGGGAGAGGCCCAGGGCTGCGAGCAAATCAGACCTGGCGCCCGCACTGACAGCCCTGCCCGAACGTGGATGGGCCGTGGTGGGGCTCGACACGTCAGGCATTGTGGTGCGTGCCCTGCGTGGCGAACTTCTTGGTCAGGCGCATGCAGCGCCATGTGCCATGTGGGCGACGACAGGAAAAAGGTGTCTTAGGCGAGATACCACAGCGGCCTGACGCGGTGGCTTGCGCAAGCCGCAAGCGCGGCACGCCACACCGGAAGCGAGGGCGCTCGCGCGCGACCTTACGCGGGCAGCTTACGCGCGAATGTCGGCGAAGACGACCCCTGTGTCGGCGTCGCGCATGTGTCGAACGCACTGCAAACATGAAATCGTTGCAAGTCGCTGGGCATCCAGCGGACATTGGTTAGGACCGTATCGCTCTTGTTCGATCTGGGCCTGGTGGGGCCCTAGCTGCAAGCCAGCATAGGCTTAACACGCTGCGATTTGGAGGCAGCCGCGTCGGCTGTACCAGGACAGCCCTAGGCCAGGATTTGAATGCACTGCTGCACATCGAGAGTTGGATGGTGCCCTTGGCAGCGCTGCTGACTCGATCCTCACTTCCATAGGTACACATAGCCAGAATACGTCGCAAAACTTGGAGCTGGAAGCCAAGCAGCCCCACAGATGCTGCAGGACTTCTACGTACAGAACTCCCTAGGTGCGAAGGAAGAGAGGCAGGTTCTTGCTCGGGTAACCCGGGCGGCTGCCAGGAGGGCGGTGGAGCTCCAGCCCCGGGAAGACACTATTGAGAAAGACAATTACCGTGTTGGGAGAAAGGAGTTGGGAAGATACAGGTTACGACTGTGGTAAACACCTTTAGCATACGCGGTAAAATGGAGATGAGGATCATTTCTCCCAACCCCATGCTCCCAACCCGATAATTGCATCTCTGAACCAGCGACGCTGCCGAGCACTCCAGGCCTACCCCCTGGCCCTGACTCCTCACGAATGCCGGCTCTGCGAGCAGCGCTTCGAGTCCCGCGGTGCGAACTCTGCCTAACTGCGTTGCCAGTGCGGCCGAACGGTGCCGTGCGCTGCGAGCTCAACATGGGGCGCCTGCCGCGCTCCAGCGAGGGCCAGCCGCTCGGCGTGTCCGCCGCTCCCCCAAAGGTCTACGTCGCCGCCACCGACCTTGTCCGCGTGGCAGTTGCCGTCCAGGCCTGCCACGAGATGGGCACCGAGCCGGATGGCCTCTCAGGGTAGGCGCCCAAGGAGAAGGGGGGGAAGGTCCTGGTGAGGGAGCGAAGATGTCTTCCGCCGTCAAGGCGCCAGCAACAGCTCGCCTGCCGGAAACGGTCGTCACAACATCTCGAGAAATCAGTCGGCCAAATCCGAGGTGAGAACGTGAGGGTGGGAGTATAGGTCGGTCGGAAGAAGCAGGCAGAGACACGAAGTAGGACGGCGCTGAACGTAGATTGGGCTTCCGCCCGCCCCCATGAAGAGGAGGGGAGCAGGACACCCGCTCGACTCTTGAAGTAGGAAGGCGCCTAGAGTAGGTTGGGATCTGGGATATCCACAAACACCCACTTTCAACGACCGACGCGCATACGGGAGATTGGGGCACAGAGCCTGGAGATCCGGCACAGTCGCGACGCGTCCTTCCTGCGGGGCCGACACGGCGGGCCCGGGCCGCAACGAGCAGCCGTCGGCCAGGGAGCTCCAAAAGACCGTCGGCAGCGGCCAGCACGCGATGGACGAGGAGGCCCAGATCGGAAGAGAAAGCGCGAGCCCAGAAGGAAGGGGAGGAGGGAGAAGGGAGGAGGGGTCGAGCGGGAAGGGGAGGAGGGGGAAGGAGGGAGGGATCGAGAAGGAAGGAGGAGGCCCAGAGCGGAAGAGAAAGAGTGCGCGCCCAGCGTTCCCGCACGGGCCGTCGCCTCGAGCCTCCTGCGCCCACGGCCCACGACGTCGTGCCACCCAGGAGGGCTGGAGTGGCCGGCGGTCTGGCGTGAGAGCCCTGCTTGAGCTACGCGGGGGGGGGGGCAGTCCTGTGCTCCGTGCAGCGCTGCTTGTGCTGTCCGCCGGCTCTGTTTGGCGACGCGTGCAAGGGGGGTAGCTGGAGGGGGGAGGTTTCTCAGAAGGAGGCTGCTCCTTAGACGGCGCCCGCCTTGCGCATACAGGCAAGGCCCGCGCCTCCCAAGAAGCAAGGGTGCTTCTAAGAAGCCCTCCCCCCTCCCCCTACCCGCCTCTGCGCGTGGCCGATGGGTGGCGTCCGCCCGCTCGGTCGTCCCTTTCACGTCTCTGCACCTCTTCCTCCATGCCCGCGTGAACTCCTTCTTGGCCTGAGTGCAGGGGGCCCTGAGGGAGCCGGGTCCGAGACCCCAGGGCAGATGAGCCCAGAATCGAATCGATAAGTCGGATCGGCGCTCGAGATGAATCCGATCGGCGGAAATCGGCAGCCGCGTCTGGAGAAGTCGAATCGGCAGACATCGGCAGGCCAGAGAGGCCTCCGTCGAGACACCGAGAACTTCACATCGGAATCCGGAGTCGAATCGAAGCGGGGTCGAGATTCGACATCGACATCGATTCGAATCGGGTCCGAAGGGTCGAGATGAGCCCCGTGAGGGCAAGGGGTCCTGAGGCACCGTCCTCCTATTTTCCTCATGCTCTTCATCCTCCTCGTCCTCCTCCTTCTCCGCGTCCTCCTCCTCCTCCTCCTCCTCCTTCTCCGCGTCCTCCCCCTCCTCCCCCTCCTCCTCCTCCTCCTCCTCCTCCTCCTCCTCCTCCTCCTCCTCCCTCCCCCTCCTCCTCTCGTCGTCGTCGTCCTCCTCCTCCTCCTCCTCCTCCTCCTCCTCGTCGCCCTCCTCCTCCTCCTCCTCCTCCTCCTCCTCCTCCTCCTCCTCCTCCTCCTCCTCCCCGTCCTGGAGCCTAGGGGCCTTCCCCGGGACCAGCCTCTCCGCCCGAGCCAGCCCCCGTGGACGGCCCCCCAGGAAGAGCGGCCAAGTGCACGGCGAGAGGCCTCGCGAGGCTTTCCTCCTGCGTCCCCACTGGACGACGACGACGACGACGACGACGACGACGACGACGACCACGACGACGACGACGACGACGACGGCGACAACGACGGCGACGGCGACGACGGCGACCACGACGACGACCACGACGACGACGACCCAGTGGGGCCGCGGGACCTCGGGGGGCCCCATCGGGAAGGCCGCCTTGCCTTGGTCGCCGCGGCCGTGGCTGCGGGGCCCGCCCCGGAGCAGACGAGGTAGCGATCGCCAGCCCGCGGGGCACGCCCGCCCGCGTCGTCGAGGTCTGAACTTCCTGAGGTGCCTCAGGCCTTCTGTGAGCACCACGGGGCAATCGGGGGACGAACGACCTCCTCGGGGCACCTGCTGCCAGGATGGCTTCGAGTGCGGCGTGCCTGCTGCCCTGGCTCTCCGCTCCCCGTGCCGGCGGGGAGCCATCGGCTCCGCAAGGGAGGCGCGCCCCGCGAAGCGCGCGCGGCACCGACGGGCCGGGCGGCGCGATCGGCGTGCGGAGCACGCCGATCGCTCCGCTCTGGCCGTCGACAACGAGGTGGGGGGGCGGCAGGCGCGCATGGCGCGCACCACGGGTCTATCGTTCGGCGGCGGCGAGCCCAGGGGGGGGGAAGTGAGAGAGGGGGCAATGAAATGAGAGCATGAGGAGGAGGAGGAGGAGGAGGAGGAGGAGGAGGAGCAGGAGCAGGAGGATCAGGGGGTAAACCCCCTTCAGAAGGCGGCAGGGCTTCTCAAAAGCCTTTGCGCCTTCTGGTAAGCCGTGTAAGCCTTCTCTGGAGCCACGAACGGCTTCTCAGAATGCAGGAGGGCTTCTGAGAAGCCTGACCGCCTTCTCAAAAGGCCTGCCCCCCTCTCACTTCCCCCCTGGGCTCGCCGCCAAGTCATGCATCTGACCTGACGCACGCCAGATCTGGCGAGACTGGAGCACACCGTCCACGCTCGCCTTCCCCACGCCCCCCCTCACCCCCCCGAGCCTGAGCAGCATGCAGTCCACGTCGCTCTCCGAGACACCCTCGCCGCAAGGGGGCCGAAGGCAAAGCAGGTGCCCACCCGTTTGCTTGTTCCGCCCAGAAGTGGCCGCAGAAATGCATCTGTGCAAGACGACGCGGAGTAATGCATGCGGAGCCTGGAACGAGGCACTGGGCAAGCTGCGATATTCGACACCACGCACCGATCCATGGCCTGGAGAAGTAAGCGGTAGCGTTGTTTGCAT